TAGATAAAAAGATGTCTTCTTATCACAAGAAATGTTGCGCTAGCAGACATTTTCAGATTTTTTTAGATTTGGGATTTCACTTATTCATCAATTCTAAATTGGAGAACAACCTTATAGAATTATGATATTTTCCTTATTTGTCGTAAAAATTTTGCATTTACAATGTATATCCATACGCACCATTACATTCTCTTCTGTATAAAATATCATATTTTCCTGTTCCAACATAAATGAATAGATGTACAAACAAATTGTAAGGAGGAATTAATCAAACAAATAACCAACATTTATGATAACAGGTAGTGCTATAACTGCTATTCTTCAAACACAATTCTCTTAAACAAATAATTTTTCAGTCAGCTTAAAAAAATATACCAAAGTTATTCAATGCTTAATTAGTCCCCTACTGACGAAGTCGAAGGGGACTTTAGGTTTGCACTCCGTCCGTCTGTCTGTCTGTCCATCTGTCAGTCCGGCAAATCAGTTTTCCAGATTTTTTTTCTTCGTGCTTGAAGATATTGATTTGATATTTGGTTTATTGATTTATCATGACAAGTTACAGGTCAAGTTCAATTTTCACGATTTTAGCTTTTCTCTTTGTTCAGTTAAAGCCCTTTCCCTAGAATTAAATTTTTGATGAAATACTTATTAATTAGTAGATTTCTGTTCAAAGGGAAATAACTCATTTTTTAAAAGACTTTTAAAAGACAAAATGACATTTTGGATTTTTTACCTTTTCTTTGGTAAATTGTTTGAAGAATTTAGTGGTAGGTTTGTTTGTCATTCTTGAAGATATTGATTTGATAATTAGGATATAGTTTTATCATGACAAGTTACAGATCAAGTTGGAATTTTGTTCCAGTCTGATAATTTTGTGCAGAGTTATGGTCTTTGGACATAGAAAATTCACTTAAATAATCAGTTTTCAACAGTTTTTTTCGTCATGCTTGAAGATTTTGACTTGATATTTTTATGTAGTTTACACCATGACAAGTTATAGATCAAGTTAGAATTTCGTTCCATTACAATGAATTTGTAACCGGTAGGGTACTATGTATTGCCATGCAATACTCACAGAATGTTTGTTTTTCTTACAAAAAGAAAGCAGAAAAATTTATGTACTGGGAGAAGTCTTGAATAATATAATTTTCACAGTGATCTTAAGTGGTATTTCTTTACTTACCAATATGTTCTTTTTTCAGGTATTGACATTTTGATGCAGTTTTCCACAATGACATGCTTGCAGTAGATTTTTATTCCTTATCTGTCTATTTCTTAATTTTTTCATCAGCCATAACCATGCAGTATGTTGCAGGCAGGGATGGGGTAATCGTAATCTGTAATCGTAATCGATTGTAATTGATTACATTTTTTCCAGTAATCGACAGTAATCTGTAATCGAAGACATTTTCGATTACAAGTAATCGTAATTTAATCGATTACAGCAAAAATTATGATGTAATCATCGATTACTTTTTGATTACATTTCGATTACTTTAGTAAAATAGTTTGATGAAATATAACCTATTTTAAATGAAAATATGTAAGTATTCATCACTTTATAGTACAGATAAAATAGAATGTATTAAAAAGACTTCAGAGTTTATCAAATGCCTTATTTGTTTCTATTGTCTATAGCTGCATTATGATCAACCAGATCTCCTACCAAATTTTACTGTATATAATCAGCTTTGAAACAATTGACTTTACTGTCTTCAATGCTTGTCATATAATTTAAAGACCTTTTATTTTGAAATAAGAAAATAGATTAAAATAAGAAATGAGTCTTGTGTTAAGTTCTGTACTACATTAACATTGAAGCTCAGTTTTCAATAAGAATTGGAATTTTAGCTAGAATAGATAAACAGTTCGTTGATTCGTCATAATATTATGATATAAAAAATTAGAAAGTTCACAAAATCCTTTTGACAATGTACCAATGACTATGCATTGAAATTCTTGTTCAGAAATAGGTACATGTATCCCATTTTGACACTAAAAATATATATTGTTTATAATTTTGAATAGAGCATAAAAAATACTCAACTGACTTCTTGTCTTTACTAATCAGATGATCAAAGATTCTAATCAATGACATGCCAACTTTGTTTTGATTTCAATTATGTCTAATTAAGAGGAGATTTACATTATATTGCCCCAGGTTATAAAATATACCCTATTGGCAATTTTATAACCTGTAATTAGGGAGGCTATCCAAACAACCGGATTAATTCATGCATGTATTAATTATAAATATTATAAATTTACATCTTTAAAATTAGCTGAACTAGTTAATTATTCTACTTTTTGATATTTTTTTTCAGAGGAAACTTCTAACATTGTAATGAACTATATTCAAATATACCTGTTAAAAATGAGTAAATACAAAATACCTTACTTAAGTCAGTATGACAGCAAAAATTTGCAAAACATGGAGAAAATAACCTAAAATGTAAAGAATTGACCGAAGCCATGCTATGTCATTGCAAGAAATTTATCACCACTCACCCATGTTGAAAACCAAAATTTCAAGAATTTTTGAATTTTTCGGATCCTTAGTAAGAGCTTCCAGCTAGAAAACAACTGTTAACTTAACATTTAAAAACAATGCTTTAAATGCTGTTTTTATAAAGTTCTAAATTTCCACTATACATACGTTGAACAACATATTTATGTTTAACTTACTTTATTATTTTTTGGTTATATTGTAGCATGTAATTGACAGTAATCGAAAAGTAATGTAATTACTTTTGATAAAGTAATCGATTGCAATCGATTACATACAAAAATCAGAGTAATCGATTATTAATCGAATACACAAATATCCTTCAAGTAATCGATTATTAATCGATTACATTTGTCAGTAATCGTGCCCATCCCTGGTTGCAGGTGAAATTCAAACTAAGTTGCAAGCAATCTGATTAAAATATATATATATATATACAGATCCTGTGTCAATGCTTCACTTACAAGGATCTGACAACACTCTGTACTACTTTCTGTTCTGATAAATCAACCAATAAATTTTGGCCTCCAAACTTTTGAAAGTGTGTATCATTATGACAAAACCTGAGGACTTTGAAAGGTTGTTTAAACAGAAAGTAGAACGGAGCGTTTTCAAATCCTTGTAAGCGAAGCATGGACACAGGATCTGTATTTTCATAAGATTGAGATGCAAGGTTTTTATGTATTATGTTGCATTTCAAACAAATTTTTTTAAATGTTTATAGTTTTTTCAAACAATTTTGGGGGTTGTGGTTTAGCTGTTTTTGCAACCAGCTTTAATGAAGCCTTAGTGGTAATCAGTCTCAACCCAGATGTGTTTTATTTGTAGTCATTACTTAGACCCATTGATAATGAAACCCTTTCAAAACTGTACCTTAATAATCAAAGGGTAAAACAGACAATTTCTCAAAAATGTGGCATCTTGCTTCGGGCCTCCTTTTGAAAATCCTTGATCTAATACTCGGCTCTCAACTTTTGCAATGTTACCAAACAAATTATCTCTCTTGTCAAAATTGCACATACATCATGTATGTTTATTTGACAATGAAGTTGAGTAGCTGTTTTTCTCCAGTCAATTCAGCTTTCTTTCATTGCATTTAGTAACATCAGGGTTAACTACCTTACCCAATACAGGAAGGACAGACAAATAAAGGATGTATAGAATGTCATGGTTTCACATGAAATATATGCAAAATATTAAAATGAAAGAGCTCTCCTTGATTAGTAAAGTCAAATTGGTCAAATTCTACCTTCCAGACTTCTTCAGAGTATGCATCATAAAGTGCATTCATTGGTTACTTTGCAAACTTATCCCAGTTATTTCATTTTCTGAATGAATCTATAGAAGAAAGAAAAGAAGTTGATCTTCTTGAACAAAGAAACATAAATTGAAAAAATAAGAACACTAAAACAGTGAATCTCTTATATGAAAAGCCATTTCTGAATACAATACCGGTACTCTTTTGGTAAATGTTATCTCCTCAAATATACTGTGATCAGTGATTTGAAAAAAAACTTTAACAGAGCATTGACTGTGACATTAGATATAATTTCATTATTTTCACCTTTAAATAATGTCTGCAAAGAGCAGCAATTTGATGTAATCAGGAATACCATGTAACTTTTACTAAACAATAATTATATCAGGAAAAGCTATTAATTTTATCATACCCCTAAACTTAAACAAGAAACTCTAAAGAGCCTCACTGTGTTGCTTAACTTGGTCAATGTGCATCTTTAACAATGGACATTCTCCTACATTGTAGACTAGAAAATAATTCATGAAAAAAATCTTTTTTGTTGATATTGTATTACTGATAATTTTTCTGTTTACAGTTTCTCTCCGTCTCTTTTATTTTTTGCCAACATCATTTAAATGAGGTAAAAAATCGACAAAAAAGGTCAAAAACTCCTGTAAAGAGTCTAGTAAAATTTAATCATAATTTGACTTATTTGCAGATCTTGTCTTGCAATTTAAAGTTTCTATCTATTGTTATGCCCCCGCTGTAGCGGTGAGGGCATTAAGTTTTACCCTTGTCCGTCTGTACGTACGTATGTCCCAAAATTGGTTTCCGTTCTCTAACTTGAATTTGCCTCAACCAAATGTTATGAAACTTATACACAATGCTTATTACCATAAAACACATATCAAGTTTGAATTTTGGTGGCGTCACTTTAACCGTTCTAGAGTTATGCCCCTTTATAAATGGAATAAAATGCTCCGCTGGGCGCAGCTTGATACGACCGCAGAGGTCGAACCCTGAACAGTTGGGGCAAGTATGGACACAACATTCAAGCTTGATAAAGCACTGAATTTGGATTGTGATTAAATATTTGACACAGCATAGGTTTCTGACACAGAATGAATGTGGTCTAAGAACTTAAAAATTTTTAATTTACCTATTCAAACCATATCATTATTATTTGCTTTTATATATAAAAATCAGAAATAACCAATTTAAAATGGAAAATTTTAAAGAAAAAAAAGGAAAAAAGGAAAAAAAAATCCCTCTCCCAAATTTTTTGAACCCCCTTATGATTCATCACCCCCAAACTCAATCCCAGCCTTCCCTTTGTGGTATGGTACCTTGCAATACAATTTCAGAGAGATCCATACACTTGAACAAAAGTTATTGTCTGGAAACTAGAAAAATGCTTGTTTTTAGGCCCCTTTTTGGCCCCAAATTCCTAAACGTTTAGGGCAATTACCCCCAAACTCAAACCCAGTTTTCCCTTTGTGATATGGAACCTTGTAGTACAATTTCATAAAGATCCATACACTTACACACAAGTTATTGTCCTGAAACTAGAAAAATGCTTGTTTTTTGCCCCTAATTCCTAAAATTTTGGGGCAATTACCCCCTAAATCAATCCCAGCCTTCCTTTTATGGTATGGTACCTTGCAGTACAATTTCAGAGAGATCCATACTCTTGAACACAAGTTATTGTCTGGAAACTAGAAAAATGCTTATTTTTTGCCCCTTTTTTGCCCCTTATTCCTAAACTATTTTGGCAATTACCCCCAAACTCAATTCCAGCTTTTCCTTTGTGATATGGAACCTTGTAGTACAATTTCATAAAGATCCATACACTTACACACAATTTATTATCATGAAACTAGAAAAATGCTTGTTTTTTGCCCCTTTTTTGCCCCCTAATTCCTAAAATTTTGAGGCAATTACCCCAAAAATCAATCCCAGCATTCCCTTTGTGATATGGAACCTTGCGGTACAATGTCAGAGAGATCCATACACTAACACACAAGTTATGTCTGGAAGTTACAAAAATGCTTATTTTTGGCCCCTTTTTGGCCCCTAATTCCTTTACTGTTGGTACCATAACCCCCAAAATCAATCCCCACCTTCCTTTTGTGGTATTGAACCTTATGGTAAAATTTCATAGAGACCCATTCTCTTAAACTAAAGATAGAGTGTGAAAACCACAGATAAAGTATGAATTTTGGTGGTGTCATTTTAACCGTTCTAGAGTTATGCCCCTTTATAAATGGAAAAATTGCAAAATTTTTATTTTCTTCTAAATATCAAGTAATTTTTAAAATTGGAGTTATCTTCCTTTGTCCATGATTATAGTTGAATCAACTACAATCAATGCTATATACAATGCAATGTTTAACTTTGACTTCCACTGATAAAACACAGATCAAGTTGAATTTGGGTAGTGTCACTTTAACCATTATTGAGTTTTGCCCCTTTATAAATCGAAAGATTGCAAAATTTTTAGTTTCCATTCTGTAACTTAAGTTTGGCCCAACCAAACATTATGAAACCTATACACAATATTCATTACCACAAAACTAAGATCAAGTACAATTTTTTGTTTCCGTTTTCTAACTTTAGTTTGCCTCAACCAAATGTTATGAAACTTATACACAATGCTTATTACTACATAATACAGATTAAGTATGAAATTTAGTGAGAACACTTTTACCATTCTTGAGTTATGCCCCCTTATAAACATAATAAAATGCTCCGCAGGGCGCAGCTTGATACAACCGCAGAGGTCGAACCCTGAACAGTTGGGGCAAGTATGGACACAACATTCAAGCTTGATACAGCTTTGCATTTGGATTGTGATTAAATATTTGACACAGCATAGGTTTCTGACACAGAATGAATGTGGTCTAAGAACTTAAAAATTTTAAATTGGACATTCACCTATTATGGTTTAATATCCAAAATCTAAATACATGGTTAGATTCAGCATATCAAAGAACCCCAAGAATTCAATTTTTGATGAAATCAAACAAAGTTTAATTTTGGACCCTTTTTACCTCAATGTGGACAAAGTTGATAACGGGGCCCAAAAATAAAAAATCTAAGTACATGGTTAGATTCAGCATATCAAAGAACCCCATATATTCAATTTTTGTTGAAATCAAACAAAGTTTAATTTTGGACCCCGATTTGGACCAACTTGAAAACTGGGCCCATAATCAAAAATCTAAATACATGTTTAGATTCAGCATATCAAAGAACCCTAAGAATTCAATTTTTGTTAAAATCAAACTAAGTTTAATTTTGGACCCTTTGGACCTTAATGTAGACCAATTTGAAAACGGAACCAAAAATTAAGAATCTAAATTCACGGTTAGATTCGGCATATCAAAGAACCCCAATAATTCAATTTTTGATGAAATCAAACAAAGTTTAATTTTGGACCCTTTTGACCTCAATGTGGACCAATTTAAAAACGGGGCCCAAAATCCAAAAACTAAATAGACGGTTAGATTCAGCATATTAAAGAACCCCAAGAATTCAAGAATAAAACCCCATTGAAATTGGTCAAGAAATAAGCAATTTATACGAAGTATCTTCTTTTGCACAATACTGTGCAATTAAATATTTCTTGCTATTGCGCAATACTGTACAATTGACAATTTCTTGCTATTGCGCAATATTGTGCTATTGGATATTTCTTGCTATTGCGCAATACTGTGCAATTGAAGATTTCTTGCTATTGCACAATACTGTGCAATTGAAGATTTCTTGCTATTGTGCAATACTGTGCAATTGAAAATTTCTTGCTATTGCACAATACTTATTATATAATAATTTACACATCCTGTTTGGTGTGTATCTCCTACCATATCATTATTATTTGATTTTAAATATAAATCAGAAATAACCAACTTAAAATGGAAAATTTTAAAAGAAAAAAAAAGGAAAAAAAAAAAAATCCCCCCCCAAATTTTTTGAACCCCCTTATGATTCATCACCCCCAAACTCAATCCCAGCCTTCCCTTTGTGGTATGGTACCTTGCAGTACAATTTCAGAGAGATCCATAAACTTGAACACAAGTTATTGTCTGGAAACTAGAAAAAATGTGTTTTTTGGCCCCTTTTTGGCCCCAAATTCCTAAACGTTTAGGGCAATTACCCCCAAACTCAAACCCAGCTTTCCCTTTGTGATATGGAACCTTGTAGTACAATTTCAGAAAGATCCATACACTTACACACAAGTTATTGTCCTGAAACTAGAAAAATGCTTGTTTTTTGCCCTTTCTGGCCCCTAATTCCTAAAATATTGAGGCAATTACCCCCATCATCAATCCCAGCCTTCCCTTTGTGGTATGGTACCTTGCAGTACAATTTCAGAGAGATCCATACACTTGAACACAAGATATTGTCTGGAAACTAGAAAAATGCTTATTTTTGGCCCCTTTTTGGCCCCTTATTCCTAAACGTTTCTGCAATTACCCCCAAACTCAATTCCAGCTTTCCCTTTGTGATATGGAACCTTGTAGTACAATTTCAGAAAGATCCATACACTTACACACAAGTTATTGTCATGAAACTAGAAAAATGCTTGTTTTTTGCCCCTTTTTTGGCCCCTAATTCCTAAAATTTTGAGGCAATTACCCCCAAAATCAATCCCAGCATTCCTTTTGTGATATGGAACCTTTTGGTACAATGTCAGAGAGATCCATACACTTACACACAAGTTATGTCTGGAAATTACAAAAATGCTTATTTTTGGCCCCTTTTTGGCCCCTAATTCCTTTACTGTTGGTACCATAACCCCCAAAATCAATCCCAACCTTTCTTTTGTGGTATTGAACCTTGTGGTAAAATTTCATAGAGATCCATTCACTTAAACTAAAGTTAGAGTGCGAAAACCAATGTGTCTTCGGACGACGCCGGACAACGACGCCAGACGACGACGACGACGACGACGACGACGACGCCAACGTCATACCAATATACGACCACAAAATTTTTTTTGCGGTCGTATAAAAATTGCTGAATTTTTCGTTTCCGTTCTCTAACTTTAGTTTGTCTCAACCAAATGTTATAAAACTTATACACAACCGTTCTAGAGTTATGTGTGTTTACAAATAGAATAAAATGCTCCGCTGGGGCGCAGCTTGATACGACCGCAGATGTCGAACCCTGAACAGTTGGGGCAAGTATGGACACAACATTCAAGCTTGATACAGCACTGAATTTGGATTGTAATTAAATATTTGACACAGCATAGGTTTCTGACACAGAATGAAAGTGGTCTAAGAACTTAAAATTTTTTAATTTACCTATTCAAACCATATCATTATTATTTGCTTTTATATATAAATCAGAAATAACCAATTTAAAATGGAAAATTTGAAAGAAAAAAAATGAAAAAAAAATCCCCCCCAAACATTTTGAACCCCCTTATGATTCATCACCCCCAAACTCAATCCCAGCCTTCCCTTTGTGGTATGGTACCTTGCAGTACAATTTCAGAGAGATCCATACACTTGAACACAAGTTATTGTATGGAAACTAGAAAAATGCTTGTTTTTTGGCCCCAAATTCCTAAACGTTTAGGGCAATTACCCTCAAAATCAAACCCAGCTTTCCCTTTGTGATATGGAACCTTGCAGTACAATTTCATAAAGATCCATACACTTACACACAAGTTATTGACCTGAAACTAGAAAAAATGCTTGTTTTTTGCCCTTTTATGGCCCCTAATTACTAAATTTTTGAGGAAATTACCTCGAAAATCAATCCCAGCTTTCCCTTTGTGGTATGGTACCTTGCAGTACAATTTCAGAGAGATCTATACACTTGAACACAAGTTATTGTTTGGAAACTAGAAAAATGCTTATTTTTGGCCCCTTATTCCTAAACTTTTTGGGCAATTACCCCTAAACTCAATTCCAGCTTTCCCTTTGTAATATGGAACCTTGTAGTACGGAACCTTGTAGTACAATTTCATAAAGATCCATACACTTACACACAAGTTATTGTCATGAAACTAGCAAAATGCTTGTTTTTTGCCCCTAATTCCTAAAATTTGGAGGCAATTACCCCCAAAATCAATCCCAGCATTCCCTTTGTGATATGGAACCTTGTGGTACAATGTCAGAGAGATCCATACACTTACACACAAGTTATGTCTGGAAGTTACAAAAATGCTTATTTTTGGCTCCTTTTTGGTCCCTAATTCCTTAACTGTTGGTACCATAACCCCCAAAATCAATCCCCACCTTCCTTTTGTGGTATTGAACCTTATGGTAAAATTTCATTGAGATCCATTCACTTAAACTAAAGTTAGAGTGCGAAAACTAATGTGTCTTCGGACGACATCGACGCCAACGTCATACCAATATACGACCACAAAAATTTTTTTGCAGTCGTATAAAAATTGCTGAATTTTTAGTTTCTGTTCTCTACTTAAGTTAGCTTCAACCAAATGTTATGAGACTTACACACAATGCTTATTAGTACAAAACTCAGATCAAGTTCAAATTTGGGTAGCGTCACTTTTACCGTTCTTCAGTTATGTCCCTTTATAACTATATGCTATGCAAGCGGGGGCATCATCTGTGTCCACATGTGGACACTATCCAATTTATTTATTTTTTTTTTTTCAAGATAAATGGCAAAAACACAAAAAAATGGTAAAAATCTCATTGAAGAGCAATAACTTCATTAAGGGGTCGACTGAATATTTCAGCCATGCTGACTTCTTTGTAGATCTTGTCTTGCTATTCATTTTTGCTACTTAAAGTGTCCATCTATCTATTATAGATAATAGGCAAAAACGCAAAAATATAGTAGATGGACAATAACCCCAAAATGAGTCGACTGATAATTTCGACCATTCAACTTATTTGTAGATCTTGTCCTGCTAATCATTTTTCTGTTTTAGCTTTCAAGAAAATAGACAAAACTTGCATTTTAGTCCTATGTTCTATTTTTAGCCATGTCAGCCAACTTTACTTTGACCAATGAACCATGGAAATGAGGTCATGGTCAGAACATGTACATGTTACAATCATTCCTTACACCAAATATAGTTGACCTACTGCTACCTACTACTTATAGCATTTGAGTATAGGTATAAGCAGAATAACTTTACATTAAACCAATAAACCATGAAAATGAGATCAAGGTCAGAAGAACCTTGTCAGATGGACATGTACACCTTACAATTATTCTTTACACCAAATATAGTTAACCTACTGCTTATAATATCTGAGAAACAGACAATCAAGAAAACTTAACATTGACCAATGAACCATAATATTGAGGTCAGATGAACCCTGCCAGATGGACATGTATACCTTACAAACATTTCATATGCGAAATATAGTTGACCTTCTGCTTATAGTATCTGAGAAAGGGAGCAAATTACAAAACTTAACCTAGATCACATAAAATGTCTAAGACAGGAGAACCTGTCTGGCAGACGTGAAGACCTGTCTGGCAGACGTGAAGACCTTGCAAGGATAATTATCCTGTTTCTGTTAGTGAGAAATTAACATAACAATTTTTTTATGCAGTTGCTGAACCATGAAAATGAGGTTGAGGACAATGGACATATGAGATGGAAACTTTTCATCTCTCACCTCACTGCAAGGTCAAGATAACCCCTATTACTATTTTGAGTGCAATTCTTTTTTGGATGTTGATCATTTTACATCTATGCATTCAAGACAACAGCTGCAGGGTAATATAAACTAAAAAAATTATATCTGGTAAAGAAATATAACAAATACTGTCATTATTTAACCAAAATGCAACCTGTAAAATACTGAAACAATACAAACATTTTACAACCACAGGGCACATCAAGATATGTGTTGGATATCTTTGGCAAAAAAAGGGCATACACCTCAAACACATTGAAACTTAACAGCCTCCATAATATCTTTGGATTTAAATAAAAAAACAAATTAAATAATCAAAAAATCTCATTTAATATAATATTGTTTTCACATATTTCAAAATATTCAATAAACATTACTTTTCACTAAAATAAAATTGTAATGTATTGATGTAAAACAGATGTAATAGTTAGATAGAAAAAATGCAATACATGTATACATTTTGTAATTATACCCCATTAAGTGAAGTAAAAATTTTCTTTCATGTTTTGTATGAAATATTTTGAAGAAATATGCATATTCCAAAGCATCTGAAACCATGGTATCTATCACAAACAGTTTATCTTGAAGAAACAATATTGTAGTCTTATAGTTAATGTCAAAGATGTAACATTGTTATCTACTGTGGATTCATTTATTTTCATGGGTATCAATTTTCGTGGATAGAGAAAAAAAGACGTTTCGTGGTATACGTAAATTCGTGGATCGCTGATTACAACAAAACAATAAATTCAGAAACGTAATTCGTGGATTTCTTTTTGATTTAGGAGATCACTTAACCGCCTTGGTTTGATCAATAATAACACAAAAAAAAGAAGGAATTCATTGAACAAGTTTTGAATTGTCAAAATCCTCGCTTGGTCATTCTAGGTTAAAGTGTGCATTGAAAACTTCTACTACAATAATGGACAGAGACAACTAATTATTTGTTTGTTTTACAATTTATAAATTCTTGTCGAAATTTTATAAGGCATCCAAAACTCTATGATTGAAAGCTCATTTCCCTAATTACGATAAAATAAACAGTCATATAAGTAAAAGGTGTGAAAATAAATGTTCCTGTCATAAACAATATTACCTACGGGCAATATCCCCGTACTGAATCCTATTGATTTTTAATCACCAGTAAACCAAACTATGACACGGTAATTACCAAATTTTCCATGGACAGTTTTAATCAGTTTTAAAAAGTAAATTATCACTGATATTCAATATATTTATTATTGATTTAATCAAAATACTTGCATCTTCTTTCAATAAAAACACGTGTTATGTTACCATGTTTATCGCTAATCAACATTATACTAGAACTGCATAACATAACCGGAAATAAACCTCCGACTCCATACACATTTCTCGGGATTATTCTTCGTTGAATTCTTAAATTCGTGGTTTGCTGTGACCCACGAAACCCACGAAAATTGGTATACCACGAATAAAAATGAATCCACAGTATAATAAATATCAAGGATGGGATATAGCAACTATCAATAAAACATGATGAATGAAACAACAAATTTCTTTGTAATGATCATTTTGTTGTTGCGTATTTGATTTCATCAAAAGCTTTTCTAGCTTTCCTTAGTTCTTCATTCATTGTTAATAGTTCCTTCACTCTGGAATATTTTTTAGGATCTTTCCTGATCAGGAAAATAATGTCTTCTACACTTATTCTTCCAGTTCTTCCTACTTCCATTGCTTTCTTCGTCTATAAATAAAAAGGTGTTAAACTTATGCTTTAAATATAATCTATAACCATCTCAAGCAAAATTTGAACATAAGAATATGTGTTGTATATGTCAATAAAACTGCAACCCAACAACACTAATGACAAACTAGAGGCTCTAAAGGGCCTGTGTCGCTCACCTTGGTCTATGTGCATACCAAACATAGGACACTCTCCAACATTGAAGACAAGAATAGAATTCATAAGAAAAATCTCTGTTTTGTTGATCTTGTATTTATTTTCTCTCTATCTTCTTTAGTTTTTGCTCAAAACACAAAAGAGGGTAAAAAAATCCTTATTTAAGGGGCTGGGCAATCACTCCTATAAAGAGTTACAGCCTACTACCTTTATCAGCAAAATGTTATTTGTTCGTAGATTGGACGATTTCCTCTATATTGTCAATCTTGTCTTGCTGATCATTTTTGCCGATTTAAGTTTCTATCTATCTATTATAATTTTTAAGAAATAAGGCAAAAACGCAAAATATTGTAAAAATCATCATCAAAGGGCAATAACTCTCATAGGGAGTAGGCTGACAATTTCAATAATGTGAACTTATTTTGTAGAACTTGTCTTGTTGATCATTTTTGCAATTTAATGTTTCTCTGTATCTATTATAGTTTTCAAGATAATAGGCAAAAATGAAAAAAAAGTTAAAATTTGTCATTTAAGGGCAATAACTCCTATAAGAAGTCGTCTGACAATTTTGACGTAAATAAACAGTTGGTAGAGCTAAACATTCTGAACATTTTTGCCTATGTCAGATTTTCTCTATTCAGAACGGTTTTCAAAATAATAGACAAAACTTGCATTTTACCTCTATGTTCTATTTTTAGCCATGTCGGCCATGTTGGTTGGCAGGCAGGGTCATCAGATACATTTTTTAAACTAGATACCCTAAGTATGATTTAGGCCAAGTTTGGTTTAATTTGGCCCAGTAGTTGCAGAGGAGAAGATTTTTTTAAAAGATTACAAAAATTTATGAAAAATTGTGAAAAATTTACTTTAAAGGGCAATAACTCTTTAATGGGTCTATTGACAATTTTGGTCATGTTGACTTATTTGTAGATCTTACTTTGCTGAACAATTTTGCTTTTACAGTTTATCTCTATCTATTATAATATTCAAGATAATAACCAATAAAATGCTTCGCTGAGCGCAGCCTGATACGACGGCAGTGGTCGAACCCTGAACAGTTGGGGCAAATTTGGACACAATATTCAAGCTTGATACTATCTGAATTTGGATTGTGATCAAATTTTTGACATAATATAGGTTTCTGACACAAAATAAATTTGGTCAAAGATCTTACAAATCTAATAGCAATATTGTGCAAATGAAGATTTCTTCTTGAAACTTTTGAAAAAAAAATATGAACTCTTTTAAAAAAAAACTTTTTGAATCCATCTTTTAGCATTAACCATCAAACTCAATTGCAGTCTTTCCTTTGTAGTATGGAACCTTGTAGTACAATTTTAGAGAGATCCATACACTTAATCACAAGTTATTGTCTGGAAACTAGAAAAATGCTTTTTTTTAACCATAAAAGCCCATTAAAATACATCATAAAAGTATTAAATTAGAAAATGACATCATAGTCATGGCTAAAATTAAAAAACCTTCATCAGCAACATTTAATAGTAATATCTAAAAATAAAATTCCTTCATCAGCATTTAAAAGTAACTTCTAAAAATAAATTGACAGCTAGGACTTTGCAACCATAAAAACCCATTTAAGTACATCATAAAAGTATTAAAATATAAAATGACATCATAATCATGCCTAAAATTAAAACACTTTCATCAGCAACATTAAAAAGTAATATCTAAAAATAAAATTCCTTCACACACATAATCATGGCTAAAATTAAATAATTTTTAAAATAGAAAATGACATCATAATCATGCCTGAAATTAAAAAGCCTCCATCAGCAACATTAAATAGAAATATCTAAAAATAAAATTCCTTCACATACATAATCATGGCTATAATTAAATTACCTTTATTTAACATTTTTAAAATAGTAACTTCTAAAAATAAATTGACAGCTAATCACCAAAAGACAATACATTTCTTTATAAATAATTTACAAGCAGTGTAAGGGAGGTAATTTGACAATATGTGTTTGAATTACCTCCCTTACACTGCTTTAAAATTATGTTTTGTACTTAAGTAATTGTCCATTAAACTGGAAACCCTTGTTTCTTCCTCCTTTTTTGCCCCTAATTCCTAAACAGTTTGAGCCATAACCCCCTAAAGCAAATTCTTACCATCCCTTTGTGATATGGTAACTTGTGGTATAATTTCAGAGAGATCCATACACCATTTCACAAGTTATTGTCTGGAAACTAGAAAAATGCTTATTTGGGCCCCAATTTTGCCCCTTATTCCTGAACTGTTAGGACCATAACCCCCAAAATCAATCCCAACCTTCCTTTTGTGGTAATAAACCTTATCGTAAAATTTCATGGAAATCCATACACTTAAACAAAAGTTATTGTCTGGAAACCAATGTGTCTTCGAATGACGACCACGTGATACCAATATACGACTGCAAAATTTTTGCGGTCGTATAAAAACAGCAAAATTTCCTTAAAATTACCAATTCCGGGGCAGCAACCCAACAACAGGTTGTCTGATGCGTCTGAAAATTTCAGGACAGATAGATCATGACCTGTTGAACATTTTAATCCCATGTCAGATTTGCTCTAAATGCTTTAGTTTCAGAGATATTAGCCAAAAACTGCATTTAACCTCCATGTTCTATTTTTAGCCATGGCGGCCATCTTGGTTCGATGGGCAGGGTCGTCGGATACATTTTTAAAACTAGATACCCAAAGGATGATTTTAGGCCAAGGTTGGTTTTATTTGGCCAAGTAGTTTCAGAGGAGAAAATTTTTGTAAAAGTTACCGGATGACAACGGACGCCAAGTGATGAGAAAAGCTCATTTGGCCCTTTTTTGGCCAAGTAACTAAGAAGACATCTAAAGGTCAACAAATAGTTTTCAACAAAAGGCAGGTGTCTGTACAATATGTAAAGCTAAAAAATACCCCAAATGTATACTCTAGCTAGCTACCACCTACAATTTCATATTATACAAGGGATTTCAACTTGTAAGTTTTACATATAGTGGTAATACATGTATAGTAGTGGATAGAATTTTTTTCTGGGATTTTATTACACCTGTTGAATGAAATTGAACCATCAGCACAAGTTCATTCTTGGTAAAAATATAAATAACCAGCAGATCGGATTAAGCTATAATCAATATGGTACATTTAGTATAACTTGTGTGTGTGTTAACTTGTAAATAGATTGTCATGTTTCATGGGGATGTTTTACCTTTGTATTGGTTATTTATTGTAGGTCACTTTTTGTTTTATCATTCCAATCTATCTGTAGTTTTATCCCCAACTCCCCTTAAACAAGTGATATTTTGTAAATTAAACTTACAGAAAATCTTCAAAGCCTAACTTTTTTTGTTTCCTATAAAAAGCAATGGTCTCTATACAAATGGGATGACTGGGGGTAAGATAATGATTCATCAACTCTTTTTTTATCTGAAATTATAACCTTCTATATTCTAATTTTATATAGAATTATGTCATGTTATGTTTATTGTTAAAAACAAAATGTTTAAAACACATACCATTTCCGTTAAAAATTCTATGACCAAATCTTCTAAAATATCAACAGATTCTGTATAGGGATTTCTGTCATCTCCAAAACCATACATCATGCACCGTACTAAAATGTTAATATTCAAAATTGTTGGTCATAGGTGTGTGAAAATAATGTATTGCTGAATAGTTAAGAAAGCATTTTGAGTGTGTTTACTCACCAATAGTATAGAGACTCAACAAGTGTTTTTGTGATACCTTGTCCAGTTCTTATTACACATTGTATCTGATGTTTTCTCGATCTGATGAGTTAAGCCCTTTTCAACTGATTTTTATAGTTTGTTCTGATGTTGTACTGTTACACCACTGTTCCAAGTTAGGGGGAGGGTTTGGCACCAGCAAACATGTTTAACCCGGCCCATTATGTATGTGCCTGTCCCAAGTCAGGAGACTGTAATTCAGTGGTTGTGGTTTGTTGCTGAACATCATTTTTTTTTTCGTTTAGTTTTTTTTACATAAATCGGGCTATTAGTTTTCTTGTTTGAATTCTTTTTACAAATTTCATTTCTGGACCTTTTATAGATTACTATGTGGTATGGGTTTTGCTCATTGTTCAAGGCTGTACAGTGGCATATTGTTGTTAACTTCTACATCATTTGGTTTCAGGTGGAGAGTTGCCTCATTGGCAATCATACCACATCTTCTTATTATTATATATATATATATACATTTTACTAACATTCTTTAGAAAATATCTTTTTTCTTTTCTCCAATGGAGTGTCCTCTTCTGCATCTTCATCATCAAACTTTAAAATACATACAAAATTAATAATCACATGTGCCATTGTTTAAAACATTGCAAAAATGAAGTAATGAAATGCATCCAGGATTAGATTTATATATGGATAAATCTTCAAAAAGAAAGAAAATACTTTCAGGTCATGTCTTTTCGAGACTGCTAATGACTTCTTCAAACTCAATCTGATGGTGGTTTACTGATTTATGTTTTTGTTTAGTTGTGTGTTTTTCTTTTTTTGCACTTCAAATCCACTATTGTTCCAAGTGAGGGGAGGATTGAGTGGTCACAAATGTGTTTAGCCCAGCATTGTTATTTATGTGTCTGTTTTAAGCCAGAAGCATGTAGTCCAGTGGATGTATTGGCTGCTGTCTGTCAATGATAATGTTGTTAGCTTAAATTATTATGATTAGCCCATTATTTTTCTCCTTTGAATAAATTTTTCACAATTTTTTATCCTTGGGTCTTTATCAAATAAAAAAAATTTTGTTTGCTGTTGTCAGTGCAAAACTGTAATTGACTACCAAAAATAAAGTCCATTTATCACTTTCAGTAAAATGCAGATAATATTAAAGGAGATCAAATTGTTTTCTTCATATGTAATTTTTTAATCATGAAGAAGCATCTGTCCAAGTTTCTAACATTCCAAGAAGTTTAAACAAAGTTATTGGTGTCTAAAAATGTAAACCCCAGACTGTATGTGGATGCTTACTGCAAAACACAGAGTATGAAATGGGTCTATGGCAACTGGTACCCGATTTTTATCAGGATTAATTTTTTTTATGTTTGTGCGCTGCTTTTTATTACATAAATTGTGTGCATTCATTTTACAGGTAATACAAGGATAATTCATAGTAAATGTGTCAAAATTATCAAAATTTTAAATTACATATTTTTCATATTCATTTCTCATGAGAAATCCTGTACACGCTTAATGCATACATTTAACTAAAAAGCGAATTTTGAAAAGTGACATGTATTCTGTTTCCTTATTTTACTGAATATTGATTGCTTTATTAATAAGTTAAGTCACATTGTCAATGCACAAACATGGAGTTTCGATTGTTTTAAATTTCAAACCACAATACATATCAAACTAAGAGGGCTTGTTACACCGCATTATATGACACAATGTATGATGAACCTAAAACTTACTAAATTGGGGTTTATTAAAAAAAACATAGAAAAGTTGATAAAAAATATAAATTTCATTATAAATGCACCACTTTGAATATCAAAGTTTGTTCATTGAGGTATACTTTTAACAATCCAGAAAAGATAAAAATGGGCTTGATAGTTTCACATTTAAATTCTGTAAATGCATTGATTTATTTGTTATTATTATCAGTATAGTAATGGTATCTAATTACAGAAAATATCATACAAACTCGGAGAAAACTGATGAATTCGTTACTTCACAAGAGATTGAAGCTGCATTTTAAACAAAGCCATCATGTTTGTCAATTAGCATTTTTTACTACTAGATCAGAGACATGCAAACTATACATGTCTTAGACAAGATCAATTATGATATAGAAAATTACAATTAAGTTTACTATTTATCGAATTAATGATACATAACAATGCTACAAAAATGGATATGTGTTGGTAAAAGTATGAGTTGGTAAAAGTACGAGTTGGTAAAAGAACAAGATGGTTGAGTACAAGTTAGCAAAGGTACCAGTTGTAGTGCACCTTACAAAAAGACTATAATACACCAGTTCTGAGATACGGTAGTTAGTTATATCTGTCATGTGACTTCCGTCACCATGTGACAAAAATGTAAGCATTGTCACTTCCAACACACGTTAAGCGAATGTGTGAAAATATTTGATGTTATACTGCACAAATATTCATAAAATTAAAATCTAATTAGTTGGTCACCCTCCCTACAGTCGTACGGGAATTGAGATGACGTACCTACGGAACATAAATTATTTCTAGACTACCCTGCAGAATGAAGATCCTGAAGATGCTTGAAATTTTAATAGTGCAGGGATACAGATGCACCTTCTATCTGGTAAATGATGTCATACATGTCATAAGGGCGTGCATAATTGACGATCTTTTCCGGTGGAAGATGTTATACAGAATAATTCAAGAAAAAACCTATTCATGAAACTGGGTCCCTTCGCCCAAAATCATGTTCGCTCCCATTCACGTTCGCCCCTTTCACGTTTACAACAGACACGTTCGCACCCTTTTTATTGGTTTTGTGTTGAATAATTGTTTAATCATGTTTTAGTTAGTGTATTGCTTTAAATAAGTTTTTTATATTGTTTCAAAATAAAGTGATGATTAGAGTAACTACTTTATAAAATTTAAAAGAGCAATAAATTATTAAAAAAAAAAACCTTAAACATCACATCCCATTGTACACCATTCACACAACATGTATTGGGAGCAAATGGACCCGATACCCCTATTCGTTGACAACGCATCTATGTCATTTTTTAAGGTTCATCAAAACAAATGGACAAATATGGCTATATTTACACCTCAAAAACTACTCTGTGTACAGACTTACCTGTGCAGTTTGGAAAGTTTTAAGGCCTGGCATCCACTAGATATAAAAAAGTTAAATGCATTTTGTGTTTCAATAAGATAAAATCTTTTTTGGATTTTGATAGGCATTTTTTTCTGTTCCTGCAGAAGGTGTAAAAATAAACTAAGTTGGGTAAATCTTTGAGATGCTCCCTCTCAGGTAACAACTGTATTGCATTGTATTGATTGTCCTTGATTGACATGGACAATAGATATCTACACAACAATAGGTGAGTTAAAGGGTGTAACAGAGTGGACCGTATCAAATGTAATTTAGGTGTTTGTTTATTTTTTTAAACCAACAGCAGGAACGAAAAAAAATGCCCATCAAAATCCAAAAAAGATTTTATCTTTCTGAAACACAAAATGCATTTAACTTTTAAATATCTAGTAGATGCCAGGCCTTAAACTTTTCAAACTGCACAGGTAAGTCTGTACACAGAGTAGTTTTTTAGGTGTAAATACCACAGGCACTTGTCTCAGAATTTTTTTTCCCTATATACCTTAATATAAAACAAGGTACTTAACTTGCATTTTTGAAAAATGTCAGCTGGTCACGAAATTCCGTTATATGCTGATTTCTCGGTTGTCAACCCCACTAAAACTTGTTATGTCGTAAATCTAAATTGATTTTTCTACACAATGGTGTATGACACGCCTACTTTTGTTTTCGGAATCATCCATAATTATTTCGTCTACTGACGCCAAATTGGAAGCATATGTCTCGCAGTAAAAGGTATCTTCCCACTCTCTTTATATATCTCATTTTCCGATTGGTCAAATTTTATGGGAAGCTCTTAATGTTTCTCGGAGTTATCTGATCTTATTTCATTTCATACGTAAAGTCCAGAGAGAGTCAGAATGACATTGACATAATGGGAAAATTTATGTCTAAAAAAAGGAACTCGTAACTTATTAGACATACCACAAATAACACTTGTCAGATTTTTTTCACGGTATCTTACTTACTGGGTGATAAGTTCTATTCAGACAAAAACTAAATAAGTTTTTTTTAAATAATTTTTATAATTAATCATTTACTGCAAGTTTTGTGTTTCCAATCCGGCGTCGGTAGCCGAAATAATGACGATTGACATACTTAAGTAGGCCTGCTACAGATGATTCCGACAACAAAAAGTAGGCGTGTTATACACCATTGTGTAGAAAAATCAATTTAGAATTACGACATAGCAAGTGTTAGTGGGGTTGACAACCAAGAAATCGGCATATAACGGAATTTCGCGACCGGCTGACATTTTTCAAAAATGCGAGTTAAGTACCTTGTGTTATATAAGGATATATAGGAAATTTTTTTCTGAGACAAGTGCCTGTGGTAAATACAGCCATATTTGTCCATTTGTTATGATGAACCTTAAATGGACACAGATTTGTGATGTCTATGACACAATATAATACAGGATACTAATCTGAGAAAATGACACATATTTGAGGCTTGACATAAATTTTACTCTTACAGTTACATATATAATTCTAAGAAAAACTGGTATTTCCAACCTTTTGGGATGTAAATACAGAGAATTGCTTTGTTCATTTTGGTGTCAGTTTGACATAATGTTAGATTATGAGTTGCTATAGTATAAAATGTGGATCAAATATATCAGTTGTACTATATTAGTAGTTAAATTGGATAAAACACAACACCTGATCTTTTTCACTTTCAGCAGCTGCCATATTTTATCCTTTGGATACACTTGCTTTACTCATATTAGCGGATTCTGATCGGAGCACATGTACAAATGTGAATATGGTGTGGTGACTGTTTTCCAGTTTCCTAGATTTTTATGATCGAACACTTAGACTTATTTTAGAGTAAATTGATAATAAATGTATTATTGTATTTAAATTCTATAGTAAATTTTTCAGTCATTTCGAATATAGACCGTTGGTGTACCTTATCACACATTTGGGGATTGGAGTGACTGTTAGTAAACATCCGGTTCTTACAAAACACGTTGGTTTGTTCAGATATTATAACCTTGATTCAATTTTAAACAATTTTAATTAATTATGCCGAAAGAAGAAGAGAAAAAGACAGAGCAGAAATTAAAACCCTGTTGTGCTTGTCCAGAAACAAAAAAAGCTCGTGATGAATGGTGAGAGTTGCAATTCATATAAGATAAATTATGTAACTATTTTTTTGGTCAGATATATCAAGGATTCAAGGATATGTCTTGCTGATTAATTTTATTTTGCTAGGAGCAGGAGCAGGAGCAATTATTTATGCTGAACACATTAAACCTGCTGCAAGACTACACAGACCTGTGGCACAAAGAGGATCCATCCTCCTGGCGGAACTCATAGCGATTCTCATGGTCCTTGAATACTGCATTACAGAAAATATGTACAACACAATACAAAAAATCAAAATTTTCTCTGACAGTCAAAGCGCTGTGGGATTACTAACACTGAACTGGGCCCCAAATAGCTACATTTCCGTAATAAGAGAAATAAAAGAAAACATTGAGCATCTTAGGCAAAAAGGACTAAATGTAATCATATCATGGACACCAGGGCATGCCAATATAGCTGGCAATGACGAGGCTGACATCCTTGCAAAAACAGCAGCACAGGAAGCAAAAGAACTACCACCGGAAAATAACGTCATAACACTACAGGACGTCAAACAGGCAGCCTATAAAAGTACAGGAGAAAAATGGCAGAGAAGATGGGAAATATCTGAGAGAGGCAGGGACCTTTACGAAAAAATACCAACTACGAAACACTCAATTATGTATGATTTTCCCACTAAAAGACATTTCAGTATATTCGCCCAACTAAGAACTGGCTATACAGAACTCAACTACTACAAGAACCGAGTAGGCCAAACCAACGGCATAGAATCATGCAACTGTGGAGCACCTGAAACACCTCACCATTTCCTTCTGGAGTGTCCCTGCTATGAGAACGAACGAGCAGATATGTTACAACAAATATCCAAAGAGGTCGGGATCAGAAACCTGAATTTAGCTACTATGCTAACGAGACTAGACGGCGAGAACACCGAAGAGACAAAAGCCAAACTACAAACAGTGGCACATTACATTGACAGAACAGGCAGATTTGATACTGCTGTTCCTCAATCCCAATCTTAACCAGCGCATACTAAATTAAAGCACAGAGAAGAAAATACGCCGAGAAAAACGCACCAAAGAGAAAACCTGCACATTGGGAAAATTCGTGCCAACAGGCCTTAAGATTGAGGATTGAGGATTGCTATTTAAAGTGTCTATTTATCTATTACGGAACAAACATCACCATTAAAGAGCAATAACTCCAATAAAGTGACTTATTTGTATTCTTGCTAAATTAATTTTCTTCTTCTTCTTCTTCCGAATACGGGAGTAGACTCCTAGGTAGGAGTGTAAAACTTCCCGGAACTTGTGTGCTATGTACATATGGACTTAATTTAAAAATAATATGACAAAGAAAAATCATTAACAATAACATATATACATTATGTACAGTGGCTTTGTAGTTTAATAAGTTGTTGTGGCTCCTTCAAATGTTAGAGTGGATATGCCACTTTTGAAGGATTCCAGGGTGTCAGACATACCTATTGCTTCAGGTAGTGAGTTCCAGTCCGAAATAGTGCGAGGATAAAAAGAAAATTTATAGAAATCTTTATTTGTTGATATTTGCCTAAATTTATGTTTTCCCCTAGTACGTCTATCAGATATTGTTAAATTGTCCTTAGGAACTTCCACTAACCCCCAATTTATTTTATATAGCATAGTTAATCTAGCTTTTTTCCTTCTTATTTCTAAATTTTCCCATTCCAATGATTTAATTAAATTTGAAACTGCTCCAGGTGATCTGTCTTTATAATCATTGAAGACAAACCTGGCTGCCTTACGCTGTACCTGCTCAACCTGAGTGATGTGTTGCTTTTTGTACGGATCCCATACAGGGGAAGAGTATTCGACGACTGGACGGACAAGTGATGTGTACGTAAGGTTTTTAACCTTACGTGTGCAGTTTTTTAAGTTCCTACGAAGAAAACCTAAGGTTTTATTTGCCTTACAGGTAATATTGTTTATATGTGTTCCCCAATCAAGATCATGGCTTATAGTTACGCCTAAATATTTACTATCTTTTACTGCTTCTAAAACATGATTGTGTAATATATAATCAAAAGTTGAAGGTTTACTTTTTTTAGAAATATGAATAACATAACACTTCTCAGGATTAAAATTCATTTGCCAGTCCTCTTCCCATTGTACTAAACTAGATAAATCTTTTTGAAGTAATTCGGCATCAGAACTATTATTAACATTTCTGTGCAATAAACAGTCATCTGCAAAAAGTCTTGCATTGCAAGTTACATGTTCGGGTAGGTCATTAATAAAGAGTAAAAATAATGTTGGGCCTAAAACTGTTCCCTGAGGGACACCAGAATCAACAGCTAATTTTGAAGATTTAACACCATTTAATAGTACCTGCTGTTGCCTGTCAGCTAAAAAGTCATTTATCCAATTTAAATTTTGATTCCTAATACCATAAAAGTTTAATTTCTGGGCTAATCTTTGATGGGGGACTTTATCGAAAGCTTTGGAAAAATCTAAAAGTATAACATCTATTTGGTTACCATATCCCAATGATTTTGCAAGATCTTGTAAACTGATGATAAGTTGGGTCTCACAAGACCTTTTACTTCTAAACCCATGTTGACTATCATTTAATATGTTATTAATTGTAAGATGTTTCCTTATGTTGCTTGTTATAATGTGTTCTAGAATTTTGCAACATATTGCAGTTAGTGAAACTGGTCTATAATTAATAGCGTTATGCTTGTCACCTTTTTTAAATATTGGTACAACATTAGCCTGCTTCCAATCAGTTGGGATTTTACCAGTATCAATAGATTTTTGGAAAAAGAATGTCAAAAATGGAGACAATTCTTCTGCAAAGTTATGTAAAAAATATGCTGGCAGATTATCAGGGCCAGTGGCTTTGTGTGGATTTAAGTTTTTAAGTAACTTTAATAAGCCATTATTACTAATAAATATGTCTGGCATAGTGGGGTGGGGACTTGTACCTTTATTTGGCATAGAGGATGTATCTTCGGTAGTAAAAGCCTTTTTAAATTGTTCATTTAGGATGTTAGCTTGTGTATTCGGCTCACTATATAATAAGCCATCCTTTCCTCTTAATGGTGAAACACCAGATGTTTCTGTTTTTTTACTTTTTATAAATTGCCAGAAAGATTTAGGTTTTACTTCTAACTGGGGGCTAATTATTTCTTGCATGTACGTGCTCTGGGCTCTTCTTATTTCTCTTTGAGCAGTAGCTTTTAACTTTTTATATTTATCTTTATGTTCTTGTTTACCAGTTTTTTTAGCTTTGTTGTAAGCTTTACGTTGTTTTTTACATAAATGGTCTATATCCCTATTTGCCCAAGGGTTGGTGTACTTAGATTTAGTTATTTTGCTTGGTACATTATCATCTATTATTTTATTACTACCTTCTTTGAATTTATTCCATAATTGGTCAATATTTAAATTTTCATTAGCCTGAGATATAAGTTCAGATATAAAATGAGATGTTATGTCTTTTATCTTTTTAATATCAACCTTTTTCCATAAATAAATTTTATGTTGTGATTGTTTAGATCTTTGGGGCTTGCAGATTGCATCCACTAATACAATATCATGGTCAGATATACCTGGTATGGATTTTATTTTTGTTATCAATGCAGGTTGGTTTGTGCAGAAAAGGTCAAGGATATTATCTTTCCTAGTTGGAAAATCAACCATTTGTTCAATGCCTAAGTTGTTCAGCATATCTATAAATGCTTCATTCAGCTCCTTAGTATACAATGAGCCAGATATATTTTGCTCCGGCCATTTTATGTCTGGAAGGTTAAAGTCACCACCAAGCCAGAAGGTGGAATTTTTAAATTGCGATTTAAATGTGTCTATCCGGTCCTTCTGAATGATTTCATGTCAATCTGGCCCCAAGATGATCCATCCCAAGTCGTTCCATCCAAGTGGATTCGGCCCAAGACAATCCAGCCCCATATTTAAAGTCCTTCTGGCCCCAATATAAAAAATATTTATCAGGAATAAGAATAAAGATATATTAGTCCAAATAATTATGACGTCTTGAAAGGCTATTATATTTTTTGGCTTTGACGCCTTACAGGATGGACTGAATACGGTGCTGCCATTTCTTGGCGGTTTAATTATTTAATCTTGATCTAAATACAAAAGCACAGAATTTGAATTTTTGTTTTGGTTTGGAATTAATGCCACAGCAGAGAGACAATAATATTACCTGGTTGGAAAATGGAATTTAGGATCTTCCCACTTTGTTGTTAGTAATTTTAATTTACTATCATTGATATATATTTCCTCAGATAGAATTTTCTTATACTTTGCCAAAATGTAGATTTTTCCATGCTTTTTTTCAAAAATAATATAATAAAAAGTATGGGTCACCGTGCTATTTTTCAAGTTACAAGTGGTGCACAATTGCCCAAATTTGCATAGATTGTTCATGAAAAACACCTTTTTATACGCCCATTTACGGGACGTATTATGGTATACCGTTGACCGTCTGTCCGTCCGTCCGTCGTCAACATGTCGGACATTAACTCAAAAAAAACTTTAACCAATATGAATGAAACTTTGGTGAATTGTTTATATCTATTGACGTGAGGTCCCTTTCGTTTTTTATAAATTTCAGATTTACCGTTTCCGAGTTTTGGTGTTTTATTCATTAAAAAAGGCGGTATTTTCCGGTTTTCCGACAATAACTCAACAATGCTTTCACCAACTTGAAAGAA